CAAATGTAATATCTAAGTCATATTTTCCTCTTCACTTCTTACTTTTAAAATTTTTTCTCACCTTTTTCAGAATTGGAAATACAATAAAACTATATTTGCATCAGCTGGATGGTGTATGTGAGCATTTTGAGCCTTGGTGCAGCAGAATTCATTGCAGTACTACGGAAAAGCTAGGGTCCTTTGTCCTTTGTCTTGAAAGCCAGAGCTGTTCTTTCAAATTAACTATTTTTTAAATTTTTTTTTTACTTAGATGAAATGCCAGTGAAAAGTAGTCAGTTGTGCACAGAAGAAAGTGACAGACTGGAAGGCAAGACAAAGAAGCACCTTTGATCAGTTGTCCCAGAACTGTAATCCCATGACCTTACCATATGAAGGCTTTTATCTCCTCTACACCATTGCCTTCCTTTCCTCCCGCAATACCCCAACCCTCAAAGTCCTTCCTGCAAGACCAAAATTTTTCTGTGATTCTTGATAATTTTTCTTAGTAACTTTAGTGACACCTCCAGCATTCTCATTTAACTTGCAATTACATTCCTTCTGTGATTCCTTTTACGTGAAATAAGGGTTCACCAATCAGTGAATATTTAACAGGCCAACACTACTCCAAGTACCTTTTCCCTTTCCTCTTGCTCAGCTCAGTTTGTGTATATCACTTCTGCTGGGATTCCCCAGCAGCTCTTCTTGAGTCTTTACAGGGACTCAGAGTGATGCCTTGAGAAGGCTGACCTAGAACTGAGGCTAGACAGAGTTAAGAATAAAGTAGGTATTTATTGAAAGGTCTTAAAGGATACACCTTGGGCAGTACAAGACCCTGGCCAGGGCTACACCCAAGATGAACCTAAAAATGATCACAAAATGAATGACTGATCACGAGGTCTCACATTTTTATAAGTTTTGGTCCATCTGTGTATCAGCGTTAATTGTCCAATCACTGCTTCAGGTTATGAAGTCCCGTCCTTCTTGTTTTCTCTCTTCAGTCCACCATTTATGCTTTTGGGCCTGAAAATTGTAACAACTGCCCTTAGTATCAAGCTAGAAAAGAAGTTGTTTTGTCTACCTACTCTGGAGATAGCTCACTAACACTTAATATGAAGTTCAAAACTACACACCTAGGAAAAATATGAAAGCTAAAACTTAAGGCATCAAGAACACCCATGGTAACTTAGTGTTCATCTGAAAATCACAGGATATTTTGAGGATCCTGATGGGTTTACAAGGGGATCAATGATGGAACTGAAAAAGCAGTAATGCTTCTGTCAGAGCAGGCCCAGATCATTCCAACTGTAGTCTGGGATGTCACTGATTTATATTTTTCATGTGATCTCAGTGAATATGATCACATCCCCAAACCACTGTCATAAATGTGACTGACTGATGAGCTTGTGGAAAAGCCAAGGCCTGAAAAGACACTACCGGCTTACAGGCATCAGTGTAGGGAACCTGTTCATTCAGAAATAAAAATAACAGAAATTGTGCTGTAATTGGGATAATCTCAGTACACAGGCAAAGCAGGGTTTGGAAGGAAAGGCTTTTCTTTTTCTTTTTTTTACCTCTTCTTTTTTTTTAAATGCAATCTTCTAGGGAAGTTGGAAGTACAGATAAGATTTCAGATACACATGCCAAGGTCTGATGAATGTTTTACGTTGCCTGAAAGCCTTGCCAAATTAAATGACTGGCCAGTTGATATCTAAGTAAAGGAATAAAAATCAGATAAAAAATAAGGTTCTCTCTTTTTGATTGGAGTGACTAACCACATTATTAGGTCACATATGCTGCTTTAAGACAAAATGCTGGTGAAGCCATGTATCCTTATTTACTCATCAGGAATGTAATGAGTCTTGTTTCCTTAAAGGCAGCTGAAATCAAAAGAAGGAAATGGAACATTTTGTACTTTCCCTATGTTTTATCTGTGTTTGGGATGGAGCTCTCTCTCCCCTGATCTTCTCCAGGCCCTTTTCCCTGGCATTCCAACCTGGGCACAGCAGCAGGAGCACACTCTGCCCATCATATGTGCCCTGAGTGCTTTTCTTGCCACCTATAAGAATCCATAAAAATAATTTAAAGCAGGATTTCAAAATCCATGCCTAAAAACAAAGGGAAGACCAGCAAAAGCTGGTCAGCCCCCACCTGAGTGTTGTCTGACCACCCATCTCAATGGATGCCATGCCACAGAGACACTACTGTCTTAAGTGCTCCTCACAGCCTTTTGATCCACTTACGAAATTCTTTTCACTCAAACTTTACAACCCCATGTGATCTGTAACAATCCAAAACTTCAATTCAGACGAGAAATGAAACAATAGAATCCTACCAAAAGGAACATCCATAACACAATGTAGCAGCCAGTCACGACTACTCATATTTCAAGTGTGTATGTACTTAATTCTACGGCTCAGTTGAACCCTAGCATGTTAACATGAAAATGATAATAATTTTGGTCTTCTGTTTCTTTTTATTGAGTCATACACACACACACATGCACATATTCACCTCAGGTAGCCAGCCAGTATTAACTGGGACTCACAGCTGCACCAGATGTGAATTGATGGAAAAGACAACAAATCTCCTCCATATCATGGATCTCAAAGTATGGATATACTCATTAATTTAGTCTTAAATGTTTTGCTTGATGAAATTATAAATTAATTAAGTTAGAAAGGCTTCAGTACTTTTCTAGGAAACTTCTCATCATGTTGATCCTTTCTGGTTACTCTAACAAGTACTTCTTCCCCAGGCTTCAAATAATCATAGACAGGCACCATTCTACCCAAGCCAGAGTTTCTTTATCAAGCTTATAGTCCACTAAAGACAGCCCTGAAACTCTTATTATAAGACATGTAATATACCTTTCTTTTTGTATGTCCTTGAATAAACTCCATAAAAACACAGTCTCCCCTTTTCCACAAAGTAGAGTAATAGTTACTCCATTTAATTCAAGTAAAACACTTATTCCATCTGCAACCAATGCAGAAAGACTGAATGAAAATCTCTCTATTGTGATAATACAGAAATTAGAAATTCTAACATAAAAATACTAAAGCTGTACAGTCAATGAACCAAGTGAGGGAAACTTTATGTTTAAAATGTTTAAACCCACTCCTGTTCTGCATTATTTTCCTTAAAGAGTCTCCTTTTCATTTGAAGTCCTTTCCTTAACTGGGATAAATGTGTACTATACCAGATTTATTATTTTGTGTTAACAGAACTACTTTGGGACTCAAGTAGTATCATAAAGGAGAAGTATTAAAGTTCCCTGGTTTTTAGGATAATTTCTGAATAAGAAATCCCCCCCAAATGCCAAGATTCAGGTCTATAAAAGTTACAGTTAAAACCTTCTTTAGCTCTGAGAGTTACGAATCACCATTTCCACTATCCTGAATCTGGAACCAATGAACACAAAGACCATTAAAACAATTAAGGGCTCTTTCATTCATTTTTGAGGTCTTACATATCGTATGTTCAATAACTTTGAGATTTGACTCAACTCTTTGATTGCTAGCCAATGCCTTGGCAGTGTTTCCATTCAGTTCAGGAGAAAGTACAAAATACTCAGTGCAAGTGGCAAATTACTTATGTCTGTATGAATTAGCTCTTACAGCTTTTCAGAGAAGATACACCATCAGTAGCAGATAAAACAGCATAATTTCAGGCTACTGTCACCTAAGATCCATTTGACAGGAAAGAAAATACACTCAGCATTTGCCTGTGATGATTTTCTATTGCTCTGCAATACTCTAATGCCTTCCAGATGCATTGAGGACAATTTGTTCATTTCTCTCACTAATCAAAATGTGTTTTGACTAGTAAGTCCCTATTTAGTTTTTTCTGTAATCGTTTTTCTTAATGGGAGTACTTTCCAGATGTTGTGTTAGTCTAGTCATCCAGGCCCTCTTCCAAGCCCTGTGGAAAGTTTGCTGTCATGAGCTGTCATTGATGGTGTGTTTAGCAAGCTGCCTAATTACCTGACTCCAGCACAGTTCCAAAGCAATATAAAAGGACTTTGCAACAGCTCTGGGAGCAGACACACTCTCTGCTAGGTAAGTGCTACACCTGTCTCTAGCCAGAGCTCTTCTTCAATAGAAAAACAAGGAACTGGGACAGAAAACCCAAAGTTTTCCTTTTGAAGGAAGATTTACTTTTAGCTTATTCTTTCCATTTTACATATTTCAGTGTTAGGTTATGATTTATAAAATTATGTTGCTGAATAACTCATATTCTGTCAATATTTGGTTTTATTATAGATTTTCATTTATCAGTATTATAACTTTAGACATTGTTGTGCTGAAGTGTACCCATGTTAGAAGACGACTGTGACTGTAGTCTTCATGTGATAGAATTCTGCAACAATTTATTTCTGTTATTTGTTGATAATGAATTTCTATAGTTTTACTACAGAATTTAATAGCTAATTGACTAATGATCAAGAGGGAATTTATGGAGTAATTATAAATTAGCAATTTTTCCTTGAACAGTTTTATTATTTATTCTATGTTTTTATCAAACTGATCTTATATATAAAGATATGTACTGCAATTTTAAAATTATGAAGTGAATTGCAGATAGTGATGTGAGATTATTTATTTTTAGGAATGATGTCGTACCTGAAAGTAATGATCATATGGAACATACTTTGCTTATCCCTGGTGGTCCTTTCACTGTCATTGATTCCAGAAGTGTCTTCTCAAGGTACTGTAACACACAAAGCTGAAGGGAGGGTGTCTAGGAGTGTGTCTGATACACATGAATATTTCAAATGCATCTTCATAAAATACTAAGTTCTAGAACTTTATTCAGACAGAAAATATGATTCCTGTTTTACCATCACTGAATATCTTCATAAAGAAATTTTAGTGTAGTATGGTCTTCATTTTTTTAGGAATAATATAAAAATATTAATGTAATGCAAAATGTGTATGAACTTATTTCTTTTTCTGTAGACAGTCTACAGAGCCTCTTGCCCCTATACTGACATATTTAGCCCTAGTGATTTGTAGTTTGATCTAAAATGAGAATATCCATGAAGGTTGGCTAGAAATATTTCAATAAGTTCAGAGAAAGGAATGTCTCTACCTTGCTAAATGCCTTCCCATTACATGCACCATTATCACACCATTGAGGCAAATTTTCAGAATTATTTGTCTAATGATATTCCAAGCTCTATAACTGATTCCTAACTAAAGTAACACAGTCATGGTGAAGCAGAACATGCTACTTGGCAAATGCTGTGCTGTTGCAGGTCACTGGTAGCTCCCAGATTTTATGGGGAATAACACTGGGTATTACTTGCTGGTAGAAAATGATTTATTACTACTTGATAGCAGAAGGGACATTGTCATGTATCTGAGCAGCTCCTCAGGGCACACGCCATGCCAGACGTGACCTTATGCTGATCCCTTGATAACTGATGCCTTCCCACCAGTTTCAGCAAAAATCAAGACTTTTGCCAGCAGCAACCAGGACCATTCAGGAGTTTTCCTTACGAGTAACTCCGTAACTTACAAGTCATGAATTTAAAAGAAACAAATGAAGAGGTATAAGTATTGGACTACTATATATTAACTGTATAACTACTGGACTTATTTTCTTTCCATAATGGAAGAAGGATTCAATATATTTGGCCATAAAAAAAGATGTCCATCTTTTGAACTGCTTTATTAATAGCCCAGTACCTCAAGTCCATTAATGTCTCCAGTTATTCCTTGGTTCTACTTTTCTATTTGTAACAAAGTAGTAACAAGCATTAAAAATACAGGCTGAAAATCACATTATATGTAATAGATATAATATTTGTTATCCCATGCTCTTCCTTCAGACTCACACACGTGGAGTGTGCACTGTTAGAAATTGTCTTTGGTGTTGTGTTACATGTTATTTCCTTGTCATTCCTCAATGTTTCAGCTGATTATCTGTTTGAGTTTGCTGATTGTTCAGCTTCTTTGTTTGTATTTAGGGACGCTTCACTTGTGGTCCTGCATGTTTCATTTCCAGAAGAAGCTGTTAGCTGGTTGTGTTAGCAAGGATTTCACAGAGAAAAGGGAGGGTTGCAGTGTGAATCTCTGATTTGGCAGCAGAACGTAGCAAGGCACTGCCAAGCTGGAATGATCACAGGATAAAGCAAGACACCTCCTGATGTCTTGCTTTACCATCTGTTAACTGCACTATTTCCTATTATCAAACATTTCCCAGAAATCTGCCAGTAAAGCCATTGTATGATAAGCTTTTCTATTAGTCTGCTAGTAAGTAATCTTCTAATTGACAAACTCTACTTCATAGGAGTAGCAGGGCTAGATGCCAACTGGTCTTAACCTTGGAGCTGATACCAATTTCTTCCCCGACATCAGGGGGAAAAAATATAGTGTAGGGAATAGGCAGATTTTGAAACTCCCAATAAAAATGTCTTCAGGGACCTGTGTTTATTATGACAGCGCTTTCCAGTTTGCAAGTAACCTGATTAAATGGGTTATTAGGAATAGCATTACCAATAGTAAAAATCAGACACCTAGGGGGTCTGTCAGGTATGGGTGTGCAGATGCACACCTATTACCATACAGAGAGCGAATCAAATTGGAGAATTAGCCAGCAAAGCTGATACATTGTCTAAGGGGCTAGTTTGGATGCCAGTGGTCATTCTACAGAAGCAATCTTCAAGGATTCCTTACTTTTCAGAAGAAACAGGTTAAGTTAGCTCAGTGGTAGACCTCTCTAACTTGAACACGTGCTGCTGCTGGTCTTCAGGCTGGCTCAGAGCAAACCTCTGCTCCCCACACCTTTGACGGGGGCGTGTCACAACAGGCCCTCAGCTTCTGCAGTACTGAGTGAAGAAACCACATTATTTAGGAAACGAGAGAAACTTTACTCCTTTTCCATTCAGCATTTCCTTAAGGACAGTTTGTGATGTGGCAACGCTTACACCAGTGTTGTGTGATTTTAGATGAATCAAGCTGTACAGGGAGATGTGGGGCAGGGTATTCTAGAGAGCATGACTGCCAGTGTGATTTTAACTGTCACCACTACATGGAGTGCTGCCCTGACTTCAGGAAAGTCTGCACAGTGGGTAAGTTCCCAAACACAGCCAGTTCCTCTCCTCAAAATTCCCCTCCCAGTTCCCTTCCACACCAGTGTCTCCTCTCTGAATGCTTAAATGTCTGTTGGTTTGCTGTGTCGTTGTTCCCTCTCATACTCGTATTGTTGATCCCCTCAGATACTCAGAATAACCTCTTGCAATCCAAAGAAAACTGCGTATCCACAGGTTATTGCCAAGCAAAGAATTTTGCTTTCTACAAAAGCAGAACTAGGCAAGATGGGAAAAAACAGTTTACTGTTTGTTTTCTACTCCTTAGTGAATTTGTACTGTATGTGTCTGTCTCTTATACAAAGAAAAAAAGCAGTAAAAGCCAATTCAGGGTTTTGCAGAAAGAAATTCTGACATATTCCAACTCAAATTTAGGAAGTGTGGATACTATGAGGTCTAATCCAAAGCCAGGGTGTCCTTCCATGGGCAAAAAATTGACTCTGGATCAGAACCATGTCCAGAGTCTGCTGGAAAAGGTGGTTGGATGAGTATTTATGCTTTAGTTATAGGCAAAACTATACAATGTAAATAAACATAGGTTTTTCAAACTGCTTTACTGAGCATTAAAAGCATTTTCTTGGGAATCACCAATGTCAGAAATGTCAGTGATTTGGATTACAATGGTTTGTTACAGTACACTGTGGTTCCAGTAGGGTTAGAGGAGTAACAAATACTTCTCAGAACCAGCAACACCACTGAGTGTTGCTCAAAATGCAGACCTAGCATTCCCTAAAATTCCAGTTCTGCTGCCTTGAAGCAGACACTGGGACACTTGCCCTTCGGTCTTCCCCATCCTCATTTTGCTTTGTAGAGGGACATTACGACTTCACAGCTGAAGATGCAGAGTGAGGCGTTTTAATTATGTAGGCTATTTATTCATTGTGGGTCAGATTCTAAAGGTATTCTGGCTTCTACACAACATTTAACTAAAAGTTTATGGCTAGAGGAAGTCTTCTCTGTTCTGCTCTAATCAGTGAGTCCAGGCAAGCACAGTAGGTGCCATCCTGAAAGGATGCAGGCAGTCTGGCTAAGAACCGTTGTCCAGTTGTTGTGGAATCAACACTGACTAAATGGCAGAAACGGCAGACATTATTTATGAATAAAAATTTCCCTAAGATAATAAAAATAATTCTCACCTGTGCATGTGGGATGGATCTGCTGGCACCAACACTGATTCCACACCTACACTAATCCAAAGATGCTCAGAATCTGCCTATACAGTAATCCTTATTTTTCCAGTCAGTGATTTAACTGTAAAACATGATTGCATGCTTTGTGTGCCACAGAGACAATGACTTCAATAGAGATGTACATAAAGAAAGTGCTTTTTCTGAAATCTGTAATAGCTGTGCACACTCCTTCTAACACAATATGGTCATTATTTGAAATTAAACAGCAGTTTGGTCAGTGATGTTTCAGAAGTTAACCAAACATGAAATATTAAAATCATGTGGTTATTAATCATGTCAAAACATGGTATATAGTCCTTTGGTACTCATAATTTAAGAGCTTTACTAGACAGCTCCAAACTGGTCTCTTGGGGTAACTTGGTTAACTTGTTCACACAATTAGGTTGCAGTGTTTACCTGGACACACCAGGTACATTTGGTTGCGACCCAATTAGGCCAATTATTTTTCAGAAATGCTTTGGCAGACACGTCATTCTTGTTGCAAAGGGATACCCTGGTGAACACCTTCCTACAAACCCAGCCCAGAATTTAAATATCACTCTTGAGATCACCGCTCTGCGGTTGAGGAAGCATAAGCCTCCTATGGTGGGACCTGGCTAAAGTGAACGCGGTGGTCATGTTTTATTGCACTGCCAATCCAATGGTCTCGATTCGCTTCCAAGGCACAGTGCTGTTCTGGCAGTACTGCCTGATCCAAACCCCAGTTACAGACAAATCCTGTATCAGACCAGCATAAGCGCCTGCTTTTTATGGAGCTGCCCTTGGCACCAGCTAGAGCAAACGACTTCACTGTAGAGAGGTCCCAGCATTCCACATGAGCTGGCCCAAAGCCTGACTGTACTGCTCTGCCTCTGCAGCCATCTCCTGCGAGGGACGCTGCTTTGAATCCTTCGAGAGGGGAAGGGTCTGTGACTGCGATGCTGACTGCGAGCGATATGGCAAATGCTGCCCAGACTACGCCAAGCACTGTAAAGAGGGTAAGACATTTCTCCATCACTGTTTTTCTAAGACATATTTAAACAGAGGTGCTTTGCTTTACTATAAACAAAACTGTGTGGGCTTTGGTAAAAACTGGACAAAGGAAAACAACAAAAATAACAAAACGTAATTTCACTAACAAATCGGCCAACTTCTCAAGTGTGAACGCTTTATGGAAGCATACAGGTAGATATCCTGGGAGCCACCACCAAGACTTGAATTCTGAGGGTAAAGTTGTATTTTACATTAGGCTCTTTTGGCACTAACTACGCTCTAACTATCAGAGTCATTACGCAGAATACCACATGTAAGGACAAGATCTGCACATCAATAATAGAATTAAATGAGAGAAGGTGAGGAATCAGAATAGTTTTATTTGGAAAAGATCTTTTGAGATCATTGTATCCAACCATTCCCCCAGCACTGCCAAGGCCACCACTAAAACATGTCCCCAAGTGCCACATACACACATATTCTAAATCCCATCTGGGATGGGGACTCCACCCCTGCCCTGGGCAGCCTGGTAACCTAAACCTCCCTTGGTGCTCCTAGGGGTCATTTCTTCTTGTCCTATCCCATGTTCCTGGGAGCAGAGCCTCATCCCCCCCCAGCTGTCCCCTCCTGTCAGGGAATTGTGCAGAGCCAGAAGGTCCCCCCTGAGTCTCCTTTTTTCCAGGCTGAGCCCCTTTCCCAACTCCCTCAGCTGCTCCTGGGGCTCCAGACCCTTCTCCAGCTTCGTTCCCTTCCCTGGACCCGCTCCAGCCTCTCAAGGTCTGTCTGGTCATGAAGGCCTGGAACTGGGCACAGCACTTGAGGTCCCTCAGCTGTGCCAGCACAGGGGACAGCCACTGCCCTGGGCCTGTGGCCACATCAGGGCTGGGACAGTCCAGGGTCACTGGCCCCTGGTCCACCTAGCTCACATTCAGCCACTGTCACCAGCACCCCCAGGGCCTTTTCCACTAGCCAGATGAATAAATGAATTGCAGTAAAAAGCTGCACCTTATAAAAACAAGGTGGAAGGTTCAAATTTGTGGAAGGTTCAACTCCCTTAAAATCCCCACCCATCTGAAAGTGGGGAATGGCTACTCCATGCCTTGGGATAGCAGTACCTGGACCTCCAGTTCACTTGCTTGGGGTCACCACAGTCACTGGCAGCATATTAGAGATGCACATCCTAGATTCTCCCCATCTCAAATTCAGTGTGGGAAGAGAAGCCTAACACAGAAGCCCATCCTGTGAGGCAGAAGGGAGGAACTGGATGTTATATGTTCACACTGTAGCAAGAAAAATTTAAGAAAACACACATTTTACCTTTAGGCTGGCAGTTCAGTCCAAGGAAGAATCAAACTGACCTGCAGTCACTTCTTTTGTTCTGTCCTTTTCTGCAGAGCCTGCTGGGGTTTCAGCTGAGCACAAAGGCACAGATCTGGAGGTGCAGTCCCACCCTCATGTAGCTTTAAGGACACCAGCAAATGAACTCTAAAAAACAACAATAATTTCATCAGGTCCTTAAACTTTCTGGTACCTACAGACCTAAACTGATTACTGCCAACACACTTGACAAATATGGCTTGGCACGGGGTTGCTGCATGCACAGAGCAGTCCACCTCCAAGGCAGCCAATTCCCAAAGCCTGCAGGATTAACACACAACATAAGTCACAATTATCATTTGGTTCTCTTCATCCAAGTGGTCCCCAAGAGCTGGGATAGTGGCTTGGCTTTGCCACACAATTTCACAGTAATTTAGACTGAAACAGAATCTGTATTCAGCATTTTTGACTGAATGTCTAGAGAAGTGTCTTGGAAGCATTTTGAGGTGAATTTGCTGCTTTTGAGGCTGCTTAGTATTTCCCTCTTTCTGCTGAGTTTATCACACCCAAACACTCACAAAACACTGTTAAACCATTTCACTTCTTCAGTTAAAATATAATGAAGAATTAATCAACTGTTCCTAGTCTTAAAGAGTTTCTTCTGTATCGAACTAAACTTGGCTATCAATTTTTGTCAAAAAATCCAGTAGAAATCTCCCAAAAACTATACTCAGTATTTTACTATTTATACTACGTGTGAATATATTTTATTATTTATACTATGTGAGGAATCTGTTAAACCTCTTGGAATAAATTTGCTGTTTCAGCATCCTCTGAGCATTTTTTTTCTGTACAGTAAAGCCAAGCGTACAATGTATATCCAGACCTCACTGTTACCTTCCCTGTCCTCCAGAAGCTCTTTATTCCCTGAATACATGTACACACATAGCCAAAACATTCCCCTCCCCAGCAACTGGCTTTCAAAGGAGTCATTCATCTTCAACAACAATTTCTCTCTCTTCCTCAATAAAGGTTTCAGGAAATAGTGCAATACCCAACCTTCCCTGCTTTGAGCACTAGCTTGCTGTGAAAATAAATCTTTTGACACCATGGTCATCCCTTGGAGACAAAACTCCCATTCCTTTTGTAAAAAGCTGATTGCACACACCTCTGCCAGTTACCAGCTCCTTTGGCTAGATCAAAATTATTTGGACAGTTCCCTGAGCTCCATCACATTTCCTTCACAACTAACAAGTTCCTTCTACAAGGCTATGCTAGTAGCTCATTTCCAATTGTACAATTTGATCAGTAATAAATTACAAAATATTATCTGGCTCTTACTGGATGCAACTGAAGTTCCTTTCACTCTTCAGAGCTTGAAAATGTGAACACAACCTCCTATTTCTCCTAAAACTCAGCCTACAAGAAGTTAGCTTAATACCCATATTGTTTCCTTGGTCCATGCCTGCTTTGTAGCACCTGTCTCCTTCAAGGAAACCATTTCTTTTAAAATGTCTCTCCAAAACAATCACTTGTGTAGAATTATCACATCTGAAGAACTGCAAGGGGATTATCAAAATAAATTTTTGGCTAATATGACAGCTCTCCTATTTCCTCTAGAGCTAGTTATCTGTAGTGAAAGTCAAGTAGTGAAAAGCCATCTGTAGTGAAATAAAATAAGACAAAATTTCAGAATGTAGCGCTCCACTCAGAATTCATCTCTTTTCCCCCCTCAAAATTGCCATTAGCTAATAATGCCTCACCTCAAACTTCTGGGAAAAATATTGCTCCCATCTGTGATGAAACACTTCAGGATCCAAAGGGTATTTTTGCTCTTTTCCACACAAATAATTGTATAAAAAATCCTATAGATAAAAAGAAACTTAGTTTTAAATGGAAGATGGTCACTGAAATTTTGTAATCACTCTTGTACAGTTAACACCAAGCACCTATAAAGATAAAATGACCTGTTAATGGAAGCACTTCTCTCTTTCAGCACACACAGAAAAACCAACCCCAGAGACTCCTCCAGAAAACAAATCTAAAAGATCCTCCACAGATGAGGAAGAGTCACCAGAAGAAGCTGTGGAAGGTAGGCAAGTATATGGATGCACCAGGATGGGTGTTACCTGAAGGAACATTAAAGACCATATCCCTGCTCTGGAAATAGAAAGCTGATCCTAGACATTACCAGACAGTTACCAAGCTTGGAAGCACTTGGTTTATAAACTGATTACCTCACCGAGCCCTCAGGACTTTGGAGAGTTCACTCAGCACAGAGTGCAGAATGGTGATGTGTCCCCTGTCTCTATTGGATTTTCTCACACATCCTCCAAAAACATGGTACAGTCAGTCAGTCTTGGAGAGCATCTGTGGCTGGAACAGGAAGGGTGGGACAGTGGTGAACTGGCAGCACAGGAAAAAGTCCTAGCAGGCTCCTCTAGCTTTAATCAATGCCTTATACTGCTTCAGAGAGCACATGATTTATTTATTCTGACTGGAAAATATTTGTTCTTTGGTACTGTGTTCCAGCATTTGAAGTGATAACTCAGGAGACCAGTTTGAACTTGAAACACAATTGAAAAGACACTAGAAGTCTGTCAATATTTTAATCCTATCCCCCATTTTCGTTTTAGATTTGGAGTACTTATTTTCTGCTGTTCCAGTTTCCTATTACAAAAAAATACCCAACAAAACCAAATCAAACCAAACCCCAAAAACAGTATCGTGTATTAAATGAAAGAAAATTAAGGAAATTCAAATAACCATTAATAGGATCCCAGCTGGCTTATGGTATTTCAGACACAGGGGATGGGAGTGAAACCTATTCTGCAATACTTTGCTCATACTAAACACACAAAATTTGTGAAAGCAGAACTAAACTCCAAAATCTCAGAGAGAGAATACTTAGGGAGACATTGAAATGCAGAATCATTTACTGTTCTTTTTGCTGAATATCAACAATTTTACTCAAATCAATGTAACTATAAATACAAGTAAAGAGAGCCTTAAATCCATATATCACAATGAGGAAAATAATCCAAGGAATAAAAATACAGCAGGAGATGGAGTCAGGGCTCTATGTTCAGGAATTATTTTCCTCCTGCTTCCCTACCTTTCTCCTCCAACTCCAGGTTGTTGGTGCAGGCTAAGTTATAATGTAGGGCAGTGGAATAAATAAAAATAACAGACTGGGAAGGGAAGTGTTTTGTTGGAAGAACTACTTCATTAAGTGGCTTCCTTTCCATGAAAGCAGCCAGAAATCCCAGGCAGCCTCACCTACAAGCATTAAACTAAACCCTAAACCCAGGGGAGCGCCAAGTTGGCCAAAAGGGATCACCTAAAACTGAGCTGAGCTGCTTCAAAGTCCCATGTGGACAAAAGGGACTCCCTGGTTCCTTTCACATGGTCCGGGTTAGTTTGGCCATTTAAAAAAGGTCTTCCTATTCCAAAGGAAGCACCTATAGCTAATAATACACTTATAGGCAATGCCTACCTGCAAGACAATTCCAATGGCTGAACTGAATTACTGTTTGTTTTCTAGATCCTGAAATCCAACTGACCACTCCTGCTCCAACTACAGAACCTGCAGAGACAACCCTTGAAGCCACAGAGGCATCAACTACCATGGATGACACTCCCCAAACCCCAGATCTGGAGGATCCAACCCCTGAGGCCACAGAGGAACCAGCGACTGAAGCTGACCCTCCCACTCCAGAAGCGGCAGAAGATGTGACCCCTGATGCCACAGAGGAACCACTGACTGAAGTGGAACCTACAGACCTCCCAACACAGGATCCAACCCCTGATGCCACTGAGGCAACAGCAACTGACTCTGAGCCTCCCACCACCCCCCCACCAGAGGAAACAACTCCAGAGGAGCCGCCCACCCCTCCACCAGAGGAGACAACTCCAGAGGAGCCGACCACCCTGCCACCAGAGGAGACAACCCCTCCACCAGAGGAGACAACCCCTCCACCAGAGGAGACAACACCAGAGGAGCTGACCACCCCGCCACCAGAGGAGACAACCCCTCCACCAGAGGAGACAACCCCAGAGGAGCCAACCACCCCTCCACCAGAGGAGACAACCCCTCCACCAGAGGAGACAACCCCTCCACCAGAGGAGACAACCCCAGAGGAGCCGACCACCCCTCCACCAGAGGAGACAACGCCAGAGGAGCCGACCACCCCTCCACCAGAGG